TCCTCAACTTATCAATGACACATGACGTTTGACAGATGACAGGTGGGGCGCCATCTTGCGGTGGGATCCTCAACTCATCAATGACACATGACGTTTGACAGATGACAGGTGTGGCGCCATCCTGCACCGAGGTCAATCACACATGACGTTTGATAGATGACAGGTGCAGCGCCATCTAGCGGCGGAATCCCCAACTCATCAGAGACACTTACAGATTTCGGTTGGTTTTGTGCAGCGCCATCTAGCGGTGGAATCCCCAAATCATCAATGACACATACAGATTCCGTTTGTGTACATCAACATCTAGCGGGGAGATCCCCAACGCATCAATGGCGCATGACGTCATCCTATTTCTACCTCTATCTCTCTCCAATACATCATCGACCGCACTCTCTCTTTCTCTCTCTCTCTCTCTCTCTGCCAACCTTTTGGCTCACCCTGTATGAAACAATCTTGGCTCCCCCTGTATACTACACCTTACTATCATAACAGCAGGCGAACACAACAACACTGATTAGGCGATAAGGTCGACGCCACATGATGTTTTTACAGATTTCGTTAGGTTTTGTGCAGCACCTCTAGCGGCTGATTTAAAACTAGTGAGACTGAATTCTTCTGCATCATCTACTAGAGTGCACGAGCTGCGACAATCTAACCCGAGAGTTGGAGAAGTACTCCAGATAACTGAAGAGGCTACGAACCGAAGGATCTTCTAACTGTTTACCAAGAAAGCTTCATATCAGAAACCTTCTTACAAAACCCCACTGTAGAGAACAGACAAGCCGACGTTGAGTCCAGAAACAAATATAAAGCAGCGGTTCGCAATGCCCAAAATCAGCATGATATAAAAGTTAGGCACAGGATAATGTCCCAGCGCAATGGCAGCCGGTCTTTCTGGACGCTGGCCAAGCAGATTGAAAAGAACTTCTCAAACAGTAGCCTTCCACCATTTACGTGTCAGGATGGAACTATTGTATTCAACTCAAAGGCTAGGGCGGAAGTGCTAGCCAAGATCTTTGCTGCCAACTCCACGATGGACGTCCCCCCAACGCCCAGGTGCCGTCAATTCAACACACTATGCGGGAGGTAACATTCAGGCATAAGACCGTAAGACGAGCGCTCTTGTCGCTCGACATCAACAAAGCTTCTGGTCTTGATTCCTGCCATTGTACTGAAGAGGTGTGCATCGGAGCATACTCCAGTTCTTTCACGTTTCTTCCAGATATCTTATGAATCCGGCACCTTCCCAGATAACTGGAAATTTGCTCATGTCCAACCCATCCCAAAAAAAGGGATCTAAGACCGACCCTTACAACTACAGGCCTATAGCTGTGCTTTCTGTTTTAAGTAAGGTGATGGAGAGGTGCATAAATCGCGAGCTTCTGGACTACCTCGAACGTCACGGCTTGATTAGCGACAGGCAGTATGGTTTCCGGCACCAACGATTCACAGGGGACCTCCTAGCTTACGTCACTCAATTGTGGTCCTTGGACCTATCCTTTACTCACTGTACATCCATGACGTCCCTAGTCCCAGCAACTGTGAAGTCTATCTCTATGCTGACGATACTGCATTGGTGGCTCAGTCGTGGTCTGGTGACCTAGTCCATGACAGGCTGCAAAGTGCGGTGGAAGAAGTATTAGATTGGGCGGATCGGTGGCTAATTAAAATAAACCATTCGAAAACGCAGGCAATCTACTGTACAAAAAGACGTCGCGGCGTTCCGTCTGAAGTTTCAATGAATGGACTTCGTATACCATGGGAATCCTCCGCTAAGTATCTCGGTGTCATTCTGGACAAAGGGATGACTTGGCGGAACCATATGGAAGCTCTAAAAACTAAATTCCAAATTACGTTTCGGCAGCTTTACCCATTATTATGTAAACGGTCAAAATTAAGTTTGATTAACAAGATTCGACTCTATAAGGTGGTCATAAGACCAGCAATGACATACGCATGTGCGGCTTGGTGTTTTATTGCTAAAACACACATGCGAAGTCTGCAGGTTCTGCAAAGCAGGACGTTGCGCACTATTGCTGATGCCCCATGGTATGTCTCTAACGAAACTCTACATAGAGACCTCGATGTCCCTTACCTAAAGGACTACATTAAGCAACAGGCGCAGCGGCGCTATAGCCTAGCGGAATCGCACAGCAACCCTCTGTTGCGTGATTCAGTGGACTACACAGTCGAGCAAGTTCGCAAGCACAAAAGGCCGCGGCTCGCACTGTAATCAAAATTAACTCGTGAACTTAGAACAACCAAAATTTGAGCATTTTTACACAATCTTTAGAAAAAATCAAATATTTTTAGACCATATCAAAATCTGTGAAGCGATTTTAACAATGCCTAAACGCTGCATATCCTAAAAGATTCTCTTCTTCCCCTTTGCTCTCGTTCTTCCTTCTCTCCTTTCCTTCCCCTTTTTTCCTTAAAATTGTCTGGTTTCTGGGTTACCAGACCTGACAGACTTACAAACTGACACTGTGACTCAAGAGCTAAGGTCCCACGGACCGCTCTGACAACCAACGATGACTTGACTTGACGTCACTCAATTGTGGAGTAAACTCATCCAGTCTTATGGTGAGGCTGATGTCGTTGCTCTTGACATCACGAAAGCGTTCGGTCAGCTGTGGCACGCTGCCCTCTTAAGCAAACTGATCTGGCACGAACACATCTCGTCAATAGCTGCAGCTGCTGGGAAAAAGCTAGGCTATTTGTTTAGGGCTAAGAAGTACTTTCCTCCGCATGACCTTCTCACTCTATACAAGGCCCAGATAAGGCCTAGCCTCGAGTATTGCTTGCACGTTTGGGGTGCTGCCGCCCCGACTACATTATCCATGCTCGATGCTGTCCAGAGGAGGGCGGTCCGACTGATCGATGACTCTTCTCTAACAGACAGTCTCGGGACTCTTTCGCACCGGCGGGCTGTCGGCGATCTGGCTCTTTTCTACCGTTACACCAACGGGCTTTGCTCCTCAGAGATCTCTTCCACAAAGCCGTCGCGCGATGTGCCTGCCAGACAGACCCGCCTAACTTTGGCGTCCCATCCGAACCGTGTCGAACTTCGTACATCCAGAACCGGCCAATACGGCCGCTCCTTTGTCCCGAGGGTGTCGAAATTGTGGAACAATCTACAAGAGGAAGCTTTTCCCATTTCTATTAACCTTAGGCAGTTTAAAGATCGTATTAATAAAATTTCTGTGGGATCATCATAGCAGCCGCGGTGATCCGGCAATTAGGCTTCTGCCTGCGCGGCTGCTTCGATATATAAAAAAAAAACGAATTACTGGGATGTCTGGAACGCTTTGTGTTCTCTTAGAGAAGTGTTGCTTGCCGAGACCTGAGAAAACTGGCAATACCTAAGCTGGCATGCTTGAGATAGTCCTCCGGTATACAGGCATTCGATTTCTGTTAAGTTGTCATTGTCACAGTCCTAGATGGCTACCTCCTGGAAAGACTGATTGTTACGTTTTCAAGAATTCCTACTGCAAGACAGGGCAGTCGTGCCGATATCGACATCCACCACCACCAAGATCATTCCGGGACGGAGAAACTATAGGAAGGGGACAGTGTAACAAGAATGAATAGTACTGTTGGCGCCATCTGTTGGGGACCGCATCAGACTCTCATACTCGCCAGAGCTTCATGGCTCATCTCTGTTGGGGACCTTGTAAGAGACTCTCCTTTGGTGGTAGATCGTCGCGAAGTGACCTCGAAGATTCTGGGCTGCCGCTTTGTGGCTTACCGGCTATATAGGGACGGCCGGGAGATGGAAGGAGGAAGAGCAGAGTAGTAGTTCAGTGAAGGGCGCGACATAGTAATTCGTAAATAAATAGTCAGACATAAATAGTGATGTACGTAAATGTTCTATCTAGTCAAGTTAAATAAATGAGTGCATTTCTTTTTGTGGAATCCAGTGTTTTAATCCACACCCAAAAAGAAACCACAAAAACGCTACAGTATCGCTCGGGTTAACTAACCTATTCTCTGGTCGAATCCACTTTCCTTCTTTTTGCCGATTTTGCCCATTATTTTCCTATTTCTTGTTATATACCTTTCTCCGCATGATTATGTTCTCTTTGTAGTTCCTTTGGGCTTGAAATCCCACAGCAAGTGGCTATAGTCGGCCGCGAGGTTGTGGTTTTATGTCGCCTTGAAAATTCGAGGTCTTCTAGCCATTTTATATCTCAATGTGTAGGATGAATTTTGTTGTGGACTTCGTGTGTGACTTTTTCTCTTCATTTTCGTTTCCTCAGGTTACACCCGTATCCGGAAGTATGGGCATGTGTATCTACTTTTGTAGTTGCATATGTGCACTCATTTCGGGCCTGATGAAGCCAACCAGCAGAAATACGTATCACTCGGGTTACCTATCCTATCTTCTGCTCGAATCCACTTTCCTTCTTTTTGCGGATTTTGCCAATTATTTTTGTTATATACCTTTCTCCTCATGATCATTTTCTCTTTGTAGATCCTTTGGGTTTGAAGTACCATAGCAAGTGACTAGAACCGGCTGCGTGGTTGTGCTTAGATGTCGCTTTGAAAATTCGAGGTCTTCCAGCCATTTCATACTACTTTCCTTCTTTTTACCGGTTTTCCCACTATTTTCCTATATATATATATATAAACCACTTCCCAATACTATTTCCATGGAGTATTTAAGGATAGCTACATGCTGACTCATACTGTTTATTAACCTATTCTCAGGCAGAATACTTTGAGCAATGGTTATAGGATATACCAATGTTCCTTACTCATTTTCAAATATACCTACGTTTAAAGTTTTTAACGTCGTTGCACACATAGGGAAGGAAAACCTACTCCTCATTAGTAGAAGGAGGTTAAAAATAATAATCTGTTACTATCCGGAAAATATATAGGTGTACGCCTATAGACAGTGCCATATACATATGTGTATACCAGCTGAAACTAGCACACAGGGCTCTCTTTAGACACACTTGAAACTTCTGCTTTTAGATACTTTTGGAATGTCAACCTTCAAGACGACAGTTAAAAGATGTCAAAAAAATCAACTGCTAGGACGGGCAGCGAAGGTGATGGTGATTGCAATTTATCTGACCTATATCCCAATGTTTGTTCTGGTTCTTCATCATATAGAAGCACAAAAGGTAAACCAGTTACCCAATATTTAGATGGACCATAACAAGGACTTCTTTCAGACATAGACCGTTGCCATACTGAGGGATACTCACGCCTATGTTCTGGATACTCCTCCCGACAAATAAGAGGTAATACATGATATTATTTTAACCTAAGCCTAAAGCTGCTGTGTTTTAAGAATAGAAGGAGGGCCATTCGGAGACACGGCCTACGCAAAAAAGCTACCAGAAGCCAGCGACTACGTAATTCTTATGCTTCAAAATGATGTGTCAAATTCGTCAGAAGATAGTGGTTCAGAACTATACAGCCTAAGAAACGATTACATTGAAAAGCTTAATATCCTTAGACAGAGACTAAACCTCATAGAGCTTCAACAATCAAGAAGCAATGAGTGTAGTGGTGGCTGTAAGATCACAGAAATTCACGATGTTGACCCTCAGCCCTCTACAAGTACACCAAAGAATGCCGAAAAGGAAGCGGTAGTATTTTACCACTCTCAACAAACTGAGGTAGAAGAACAATATTTTGGAAGCCACTCAGCACATAGATCTGACACCGTAGAGCTTGAGACTATCCATCCATTTTCCTTGAACTTCTCTGCTGATACAAAATCCATCACCAAATTATTTGAGGTAGAGTACAATCCACCTAAAAAGAAGTCATGTTTTAGACTAAAAACACCCAAACTTACATCATGTTCGGAAAGTAGTCTACCGTATCATACGAAGGTTGGTTTACATGAAGGTATCTTTCAACCAGACTCTAAAGGGCGTGAGGCTCAAGAAGCTGAACGAATTATAAGAGAAGGTGTGTCAAAATTTTGCTCAAATAAAGAGACGCAGTGTTCAAAAGAAGATTTTAGGAGCCATATGTATAACAGTGACGTTATTGTTATTAACTTGACCGAGGAATCTGATGAAGGTTGTGTGAATGCATTTCCTAAAGCAAAAGTTGATTCTAGGAGGTCAGAGAATTCAGAAGAAACCGACAGTCAAGCAGCGTCACCAATACTTGAAGAAGAATTATACTATCCTATTTTCGGTAATAGAGAACATTATGTATCAAATAAGAAACGAGGTTGGATATGTAAAGTTTCATCTGATAGCTATGATACTAACACATCTAGTGGAGGAACTCCTTCTAGGCCTAGTCCACTAAAGAAACGTTTTACTCGGAACAAAATAAGTCCTGGAAAAAAAATTCCTTCAAGTGAAGCAAAAAGAATGCGCTCAACCAGAGAGTTTTTGGCCAAAAACTCACCAGATGCTTCTCAACCACATTTCCAAAAAAGTGTTCTTCAAGGCATTAGAGAAGAATCTTATAAGCATGGGAAACAAGAGTACATAACACCGCCCAATCTAAGTTACGTCACATATAGGCTAACCGCTGAACGGTTAAAGTCCTCACCAATACACGGTGAGAAAAAGACTCCTGTGCCTTTTGGACCAACAATTGTCAATAATTTTGAAAAAAGTCAGCCACATGAGGACAGGTTCAATTTCTACAATACCTCAGAACCTTCTGAGGATGACAAGCGGTTCGAACACTATTATGGTGTTATGGATTCTGATACTTCTGGATCATATTCAAGAAACAGTGGACTTTGGAGCAGACTGTTGTCATGTTTCCAGCCAATGTTCAGCTTTCTATCAAGATGAAGGTGATTTAAGTAAGAATAAAGTGGATAGACATAAATGCAACTACTACGGGTCTTGCGTTTGTAAGGATTATCACTGTTTTATGCTTCTGGCTAAATTGATTCACTTTGAACTGTTACGAAACATCTTAACTGTATTTGATTCTAGACATGTAAATAGATCCGCTTTATCATTCAAGACCACCTTATATACATTCTGACCATATTGATTTTACTTCACATAATTCCAATGCATAAGAGGTACTAGGATCACGACGCCCTTGAAAACGCGTATATTCCGAAACGGCCTCAACGATTTTAGTAAGAGATGAGCATTGCAGTGGCGGCGAACTAAAAAAAAAAACAAAGTATAGACACGTTTCTTTTCTCCATCTTCCGACCTCTTGATCATTGCAGGGAGTAGTCGAAAACACTTTTGGAAAATTCTAGATCCTGTGTATCTATCTAAAGGTTCTTGTAGGTTACAGTAATAACCTAGTTGACCGACAGAACGTTGTCTTAGTAACCGGTGTGAAATTGGCAGACAAAATTTATCGGACAATTTGCCGAAGATACCCGAATGACCAGTGGCGTCGACATTATCGACCAGACTGTGATTGTGAAGGATACAGCAAACAGCTCGCAGCAATAAACATATATGCACGAGAATAAGCACCCCTATAGGAAGAATCATTTTCCACCCTAATTAAATAATTCGCAGGAACAAGACTTAACCCAAAACCTGTCTTCGAATTTTCATTTACGGATTATTGTACATATGGTATTGAAATGATTAATGAGCTAAATAGCGTATACTGAGAAAATCCCTCAAGGAGTGGTGGATAAAAAATTATAAATAAAACTTCATTTGCCCCCTCAAAAAAATGATTCCCCAAAATAAGTTGTACCTCAAAAAAGTACTCTATAATTGATGCAATTTATAGGCTAGGTTGCATGGTGTGAGAAAGCTTCCGAAAGGCTGGCAGATAAAAAAATATGTATATAAATTAATTTTCACCCTCAAGGAAATGATTCCCCAAAATCAGTTGTACCTCAAAAAAATACTCTATAATAGAGACAATTTATAGGCTAGGTGGCATGTGTGAGAAAGTTTCTGGAAGGCCGGCCGATAAAAAAACATGTTTGTAAATTCATTTTCACCACCAAGAAAGTGATTCCCCAATATCAGTTGTACCTCAAAAAAATACTCTATTATTGAGACAATTTATAGGTTAGGTGGCATGGTGTGAGAAAGCTTCTGAAAGGCTGCCAGATAAAGAAATATGTTTATAAATTCATTTTCACCTCCAAGGAAATGATTCCCCAAAATCTTTTGCACCTCAAAAAAATTCCCTATTATACAGACAATTTATAGGCTAGGTAGCATGGTGTGAGAAAGCTTCTGAAAGGCTGGAAGATAAAAAAATATGTTTATTAATTCATTTTAACCCCCAAGGAAATGATTCCCCAAAATCAGTTGTTACTCAAAAAATACTCTATTATAGAGACAATTTATAGGCTAGGTGGCATGGTGTGAGAAAGTTTCTGAAAGGCCGACAGATAAAAGAATATGTTTGTAAATTCATTTTCACCCCCACGGAAATTATTCCACAAAACCAGTTGTACCTCAAAAAACTACTCTATTATAGCGACAATTTATAGGCTAAGTGGCATGGTGTGAGAAAGTTTCTGGAAGGCCGGCAGATAAAAAAATATGTTTGTAAATTCATTTTCACCCCCAAGAAAATGATTCCCCAAAATCAGTTGTACCTCAAAAAATACTCTATAATAGAGACAATTTATAGGCTAGGTGGCATGTGTGAGAAAGTTTCTGGAAGGCCGGCAGATAAAAAAATATGTTTGTAAATTCATCTTCACCCCCAAGAAAATGATTCCCCAAAATCAGTTGTACCTCATAAAAATACTCTATTATAGAGACAATTTATAGGTTAGGTGGCATGGCGTGAGAAAGCTTCTGAAAGGCTGGCAGATAAAGAAATATGTTTATAAATTCATTCTCACCTCCAAGAAAATGATTCCCCAAAATCTTTTGCACCTCAAAAAAATTCCCTATTATAAAGATAAATTATAGGCTAGGTAGCATGGTGTGAGAAAGCTTCTGAAAGGCTGTGAGATTAAAAAATATGTTTATTAATTCATTTCAACCCCCAAGGAAATGATTCTCCAAAATCAGTTGTAACTCAAAAAATACACTATCATAGACAATTTATAGGCTAGGTGGCATGGTGTGAGAATGTTTCTGAAAGGCCAGCAGATAAAAAAATATGTTTGTAAATTCATTTTCACCCCCAAGGAAATTATTCCCCAAAACCAGTTGTACCTCAAAAAACTACTCTATTATAGCGACAATTTATAGGCTAAGTGGCATGGTGTGAGAATGTTTCTGGAAGGCTGTCAGATAGAAAAATATGTTTATAAATTCATTTTCACCCCCAGGGAAATGATTCCCCGAAATCAGTTGGACCTCAAAAAAATTCACTATTATAGAGACAATTTATAGGCTAGGTGGCATGGCGTGAGAAAGCTTCTGAAAGGCTGAGAGATAAAAAAAATATGTATTTAAATTCATTTTCACCCCCAAGGAAATGATTCCCCAAAATCAGGTGTACCTCAAAAAGTACTCTATCATAGAGACAATTTATAGGCTAGGTGGCATGGTGTGAGAATGTTTCTGAAAGGCTGGTAGATAAAAAAATATGTTTCTAAATTCATTTTCACTCCCAAGGAAATTATTCCCCAAAACCAGTTGTACCTCAAAAAACTACTCTATTATAGAGACATATTATAGGCTAGGTGACATGGTTTGAGAAAGCTTCTGGAAGGCTGGAAGATAGAAAAATATGTTTATAAATTCATTTTCACCCCCAAGGAAATGATTCCCCAAAATCAGTTGTACCTCAAAATAATACTCTATCATAGAGACAATTTATAGGCTAGGTGGCATGGTGTTAGAAAGCTTCTGAAAGGCTGGCAGATAAAGAGTATGTTTATTAATTCATTTTCACCCCCAAGGAAATGATTCCCCGAAATCAGTTGGACCTCAAAAAAATTCACTATTATAGAGACAATTTATAGGCTTGGTGGCATGGTGTGAGAAAGCTTCTGAAAGGCTAAGTGATAAAAAAGTATTTTTATTGATTAATTTTAACCCCCAAGGAAATGAGTCCCCAAACTCAGTTGTAACTCAAAAAATACTCTATCATAGAGACAATTTATAGGCTAGGTGGCATGGTTTGAGAAAGCTTCTGAACGGTTAGCAGATAAAAAAATATGTTTATAAATTCATTTTCACCCCCAAGAAAATGATTCCCCAAAATCAGTTGTACCTCAAAAAATACTCTATTATTGAGACAATTTATAGGTTAGGTGGCATGGTGTGAGAAAGCTTCTGAAAAGCTGGCAGATAACAAAATATGTTTATTAATTCATTTTAACCCCCAACGAAATGATTCCCCAAAATCAGTTGGACCTCAAAAAAATTCCCTATTATAGAGACAATTTGTAGGCAAGGTGGTACGGTGTGAGAAAGCTTCTGAAAAGCTGGCAGATAAAAACATATGTTTATAAATTCATTATCACCCCCAAGAAAATGATTTCCCAAAATCAGATGTACTTCAAAAAAATACTCTATTATTGAGACAATTTATAGGTTAGGTGGCATGGTGTGAGAAAGCTTCTGAAAAGCTGGCAGATAACAAAATATGTTTATAAATTCATTTTCACCCTCAAGCAAATGATTCCCCAAAATCAGTTGTACCTCAAAAAAATACTATATAATAGAGACAATTTATAGGCTAGGTGGCATGGTGTGAGAAAGCTTCTGAAAGGCTGGCAGATAAAAAAAATGATTCTCCAAGATCAGTTGTACCTCAAAAAAATACTCTATCATAGAGACAATTTATAGGCTAGGTGGCATGGTGTGAGAAAGCTTCTGAAAGGCTGGCAGATGAAGAATATGTTTATTAATTCACTTTCACCCCCAAGGAAATGGTTCCCCGAAATCAGTTGGACCTCAAAAAAATTCACTATTATAGAGACAATTTATAGGCTAGGTGGCATGGTGTGAGAAATCTTCTGAAAGGCTAAGAGATAAAAAAAATATTTTCATTAATTAATTTTAACCCCCAAGGGAATGATTCCCCAAAATCAGTTGTAACTCAAAAAATATTCTTTTATAGAGACAATTCAGAGGCTAGGTGGCATGGTTTGAGAAAGCTTCTGAAAGGCTGGTAGATAAAAACATATGTTTATAAATTCATTTTCACCCCCAAGGAAATGATTCCCCAAAATCAGTTGTACCTCAAAAAAACTCTCTATCATAGAGACAATTTATAGGCTAGGTGGCATGGTGTGAGAAAGCTTCTGAAAGGCTAGCAGATAAAAAAATATGTTAATAAATTCATTTTCACCCATAAGGAACAGATTCCCCAAAATCAGTTGTACCTCAAAAAATAATCTATAGTAGAGACAATTTATCGGCTAGGTGGCATGGTATGAGAAAGTTTCTGAAAGGCCGGCAGATAAAAAAATATGTTTGTAAATTCATTTTCACCCCCAAGGAAATTATTCCCCAAAATCAATTATACCTCAAAAAAATACTCTATAATAGAGATAATTTATAGGCTAGGTGGCATGGTGTGAGAAAGCTTCTGAAAGGCTAGCAGATAAAAAAATATGTTAATAAATTCATTTTCACCCATAAGGAAAAGATTCCCCAACATCAGTTGTATCTCAAAAAATACTCTATAGTAGAGACAATTTATAGGCTAGGTGGCATGGTGTGAGGAAGCTTCTGAAAGGCTAGCAGATAAAAAATATGTTTATAAATTCATTTTCACCTCCAAGGAAATGATTCCGCAAAACCTTTTGCACCTCAAAAAAATTGCCTATTATAGAGACAATTTATAGGCTAGGTAGCATGGTGTGAGAAAGCTTCTGAAAGGCTGGAAGATAAAAAAATATGTTTATTAATTCATTTTAACCCCCAAGGAAATGAATCCCCAAAATCAGTTGTTACTCAAAAAATACTCTATCATAGAGACAATTTATAGGCTAGGTGGCATGGTGTGAGAAAGCTTCTGAAAGGCTGGCAGATGAAAAAATATGTTTATTAATTCATTTTCAGCCCCAAGGAAATGATTATCCAAAATCAGTTGGACCTCAAAAAAATTCCCTATTATA